GAGTACAAAATTTGCAGTGATTGAAATAGATTTTCTGAAAAATGAAAGATGCATTTGTATGAGACTGTATCGTATTGAGAATTGGAGGTGTTGAGCTACTTCTAGATTTGGGACCTCACATTATGTTACACATATTGCAGGTCGTCAGCCCAGTGATGCTGAGTTAATGCAATTAGTCCAAGATGTCGAGAAGTATACTCTTGCTAGCCATCTTGTTTGGGGCCTCTGGGGAATAATATCGGTAATTTCGCACCTCGGATACTGAATCTATGCAGTCATTGTAGTTATTAGCCTCTTTTTTTTCTTCTGAAAAACCATGTATTATTTGTGTTTTATTCTCCGACTCGACTCCTGAGTGACGTCCTTATCATCGATACATTCATGTCATCTTCAGGAGCATGTGAATGACATCGACTTTGATTACATCAAATATGCAAGGCAGAGGTTTGAACGATATTGGACTAGGAAACATGATCTTCTCGGTAAAGAGAAAACGACTCGTGATTAGTTGGTGACTTTTGGTTTCCATGTGAAAATTAGTAGGAAAGTTTGTTTATGATTTTGAAGGTTCAATGATTAGCATTTTGACCTTTCTCTGAAAAGCTTTTGTAATTGACCTCCCATGGTGAGCGGTCCCTCCCCCATGATTGTGTTGTGTGTAATAGTATTAAGTGAATAAATAATTTTGTTTCTGTAACCAAAAAACTAAACGAGATGATGTTAATAAATCCAATAATATTAATTTGTAATATATTTTTAATGTTCTGTTTTTAGTATTTTATTTCTTTGTTGTACTAAAAATTGCCGTTTTTAATGTTTTATCCTTTTCTTGTGCTATATTTTTAGGAACAAGTAATCCTCTTTTATTTTTCATAATTTGGATGTGATTTTTCATAATTTGAGGTATTATTTAGTTGAAATAGGTGAAGTATTATTTAATACTTTTTGAGTTTTTATTTATTTCTTTGTATTTAAATTAACTATAATTTATACTAACGTGTGTGAATATGAAATTATAGTTCAAGTTCAATGTACGTGATAATAGATTAAACTTAAATCATATTAATTTTTAAATCATATTAAATTTGGTATATAATTATATGATAATGGGTTAAATTTAAATCATATTAAAATTTTTATATAATTATAAGTAATTTTAAATATGTGCCTTTTCAAATATTGGTAAATTTATTTTGGGGTTTTTTTTTTAATATGTGCCTTTTCAAATGTTTGTAAATTTATTTTGGGTTTTTTTAAGATTTATAAATTAACCTCCTTTTTTTTTTCTTTAGATTTATAATGTCATGTGATGGAATATTTAGTCCACACATAAATGAATTTATGGTTCGTTTTTCTTAACTAAGAAAAAAAATAATAAAATTCATTTAAACCCAGAAAATCCATTGTAAAAATGGACCAACAGGATACGAACACGTAGCCATTCCTAATCCCACTCAATTCCCACGCCACAAAACGGCCATCCAATGTAAAAATATCTTGTTTCTCTTAAACCCGGAGGACATCAGCTAATAAAGGACACAGCGAGAGGAAGAAAATTCACGAACTCTCTGCTCCTTTCTCTGAATTCCAAAGCAGTTTGAATCTGTAAAGACATTTCGAGTTTTTTGAGGCATCGACAAGCGCTTTGGAGGAATGATGGCTTGTGCTTCACAGGCGCTGATTGCCGCTAATTCATGCTCGTTTCTGAGCCAACGAGCCACTAGAAAGTCTCAGAAGCTCTTCAATCAGAGTGCTTCCAATCTAATTTTCACGGTCAGAGCTTCGTCTGAAGATTCCGACTGCAATGTCGACGAATGTGCTCCAGATAAGGAGGTTCGTCCGCTTTCTCGTTGTTGAATAATTCGCAATTCCTTTCGGACCGATTGAATTTCATCTTAATCTTGTTATAATTGATTAGAATATGTAATTCAATGTTGTAGGTGTAGCTAATTGTTCGACAAGTGCTTTTCCTTGAGCTAATCTTCTAATATGTTCATTGTTGAGTTGTTGATTACCAAGACAATTTCATTAAACTAAATGCTCTTTGTTTAACAATTTGATTGATTAGGTAGTTGAATTTTTATAATTTGAAATTCAATCGCACAGAAAACAACTGTTTAGAAGGCAAAATAAAGTTTGACATAAAATTTTGAGACTCAAATTGGAATACACTAGATTTACGATTATAATTGTGACTTAACAAGATATTTGATTTTACTGCTTACCTTTTGAGCATTGATAGGCACACAAGAAATTTTCAGATGATTTATGCTGTTCTAATTTTTAAACGATATAAAACTCTAACATTGCGATGTCTATTGTAATTTGTAATGCAGGTGGGGAAAGTTAGTATGGAATGGCTAGCAGGGGAGAAAACTAAAGTGGTTGGGACATACCCACCGAAGAAAAAAGGGTGGACAGGCTATGTGGAGAAGGACACTGCAGGACAAACAAACATATATTCCGTCGAAGTAAGTATGAATTTTCCAATGATTTGAGGATCAAAGTTTTATTCTGGATTATATGCTTATCTGTAGTAAGATTTGAATATAGGGATCGGGGTAGGCGTTCATTTGATCTAGTTAAATACTATGATTCTGTTTCTGAAAGTTTTAGCAGCCAAATTTTTGTAGTTCTACCTGTTTGAACTGACAGCTTTTCCCAATGAGTTTGAGTGAAGACATTGTTGAGAACTATTAAGAACTATTAAGAGAAGTAGTCACGTTGACTAATTAAGAGGAAGATCATGGATTTCTACGTAAGGAACACTATCTCCATGGGTACGAGGTCTTTTGAAAAAACCAAAAGCAAAACCACGAGAGCTTATGCTCAAATTGGACAATATAATTCCATTGTGGAGGGTCGTGGTTCCTAACCGACATTGTTTTTTATCATTGAGTATTTGAAATAACAAGATAGTTGCGTTTTATCTGGTCGGTTTTGATGTTGTGTTGAGCTGCGTCCAGGGATTGATTTGTTTCTTATCTATTCTTTTTTTGGACTTGTTTCGTAACCATTTCGTTTCTTAAATTAAGCTTATAAGCACTATTTCTAAATTCTACTATATTCGTTTTATTTTATTACCTACTCGAACATGTTTTCAAAAAATCAAACCAATTTAGGAAAATTTAAAACTCGATTTTGTTTTTGAAACTTGGTTTCAAAATGAAATGTTTTTGTTAAAGAAGGTGAAAGGCTTAAATTATAGCTCTGTTCTTTCATTCTTTCTTTATTTGTTCCCTTGGATGTTAAATCACCCACCCAGGCTCCTTAAATTGCGTGTACTTGCAGCCAGTAGTTTATGTAGCAGAAAGTGCTATAAGCTCGGGGAATGCAGGGTCTTCTTCAGAAGGGGCTGAGAACACACTGGCAATTGCTGGTGGACTTGCACTCATTGCCGTTGCTGCAGCTTCATCTATACTGCTTCAAGTAGGTAAGAAACCACCCGAAGTGAAAATTGTTGAATACACCGGACCCTCACTCAGTTACTACATCAACAAGTTCACTACACCGGCAATTCTCCAACCACCAGTACGAACCGAGTCCGAATCCAAACTCGAATCCTCCTCTCAAGTCGACGGTGTCGCTCCTGAAGCAGTAACAGAGGTTCAAATTCAATCAGACATTGTTGCTCCTGAAGTAGTAACAGAGCTTCAAGTTGAATCCCAAACGACTGAGTCTTCCTCTCCGGCTAGTTGAACCAAATTCATGTGAGTTTCTCTAGAGGTTTTACTTCTGTATTCATCTGTTATGAATATTGGTTCTTGGCGACTACACTATAAATGAAAGCATGATGTTTGCAGATGTGCTGTACTGCCACCCCTTTTTTTTCTTGCTGCAGTTGACTTAGTGGAGGATAGATGGGGTGTGAATCGGTTGACTGTGTAAACAGAAACTTTAAACGACCTTTACCCATCTTTTTTGAGCTAGAAAAATAAATATGAGTATACAAGTACAGATACATATATAAATATTTTATTAAATTTTGAAAACTATATATACCAAAAATCTTGCATAAATACTTTTTTTATTTGTTATTATTTTAGGCAATACACTTTATTTATTTCAATAACCAGTATAGATCCTTAATTAAATTCGTGTGGCTAACATGAGTAAATAATGTCGTGTGGCTAACATTATAGATCTTAATTAGGCTTTTTGAAGCACGCACACGAAAATTTGAGTCACGGTCAATATTTTTTCTATATTGTTGTGAGAAACGTTTAAATTCGACGATTTCGACAAATATGATCGACAGCCAGCACTTAAAAATAGTTTTGCTCCCAACCAATTTTTGTTCGACAGACGTCGGATTACCATCAATGACTATTCGCTCGTGTTCTCGGGTAGTCTCCAAAAAGCTGTCTTCTCTTTCCAATAGTTTGATTATCCCTTAGGAAGTATTGTTGTGACTTGAATCTCAATGAAAGAGAGCCTATAGTACGTTTATGTACGAAATTAAAATTGAAACCCCAATTTGGAAACCTTAGTTGGACTATTTGAAGCACGGTTGCGAAATTCTGAGTCATGGTCGATATTTTTTCAATATTGTTGTGAGTAACGTTCAAATTCAACGATTTCGACATGTACGATCGACAGCCAGCAACCAAAAATGGTTTTGTTCCCAACCAATTTTCGTTCGATAGAGGTTGGGTACCATTGGTGGCTATTCGCTCGCATTCTCGAACATAAAAATTTGAATTTTTGAACTAAAATAATAAAAATAATTAAAGTCATTGTCCAGGGAAAAACTACAATGTGTACGGCCACCTGAGAACTTAAAATATAATATTTGAAAATTAAATTATTAAAAAATAATTAAAAGTTTGAGACAACAGAGATATTCAGAGAAAATTATCTTATAGTTCAACCGTAAGAATAAAAATAAAAAGCGCGCGTGTAAAAAATAAAATAAAAATAGAAAAAGAAAAAAAGTTTTCAGGCAAATTAAAACAGATATAAAAACGGATGGGCGCCGTAGTTCATATTTTCGCCTAGCAAAAGGCTTAGGGAATGTTTTCGCTCTCTCCGAAACAAGTCGGTTTTCTTGTTCCTTCGAGTCTCAATCTCAGAAGCCATGGTTGTGAAGCGGAAGACGCTTCGATGTTAAGCCATCCGCATTCTCTCATTATCTTCGTCTCTTTTGGCTGTATCGAAGCTGAATTGCAGTTTTCTGCCATTGTTAGTTACTGATCAGTTACTTGTTAACATCAAAAAAATTTGCAGGAACGGGAAGCAAGTCGACGATCCTATCCAATCGATTCCGTTATCGATGAGCAATTCTTTGGCCTTCCTATCAAGACAGCCGTCGATAAGTTTCAACTTCTTCCTGAATTTTTGAAGGTGTAAATCATCACACTGCTTTTGTTTGTTACGATTATCAGTTTAATATGCAGATGCACTACAACAGGATTTCTATTACAATGCGTTTGTTTAAATTAACGCCTATGACTATTGATGCACCTAGTGTGAATGATCTGGTTGCAGGTAAGAGGTCTGGTTAAGCGACACTTGGATTCCTTTAACTACTTCGCGAATACAGAGATAAAAAAGATTGTCAAGGCCAATGATTGCACTGAATCCAGCACTGATCGGAGTACTTATCTTATGTACACATTTATTCATAGTATATAACTGTCCTCCTTTAGAGAATCGAGTCATTAAGTTGTAAATATTTTTATTTACTCCTCTGTTCGTCTTTACGTATGTTTATTTTAATATCCTTGTGGTTTACAATTGAGTTTCTTTTGTCTAGACCCCTGGCACTGTGGAATGGATTTCAGTGGTTCAAATTGAGTAGTTCTTCCCGATTTTTGCAGGTTTCCAGATGTAAGAATCGGTGAGTCTTATGTGACCGTGAATGCTGTCAGTGAAACTTTCAATCCTCATACATGCTGCTTGTCCGACCTGACTTATGGTTCCTTTGTGATTTTTTTCATTTAGTCGAGCCTCTACATTGATTTCCAAAATATTTATGATCCCTGACTGTTCTATTGTTTCAAAATTTCAATTGAATCTACATTTTTCATCGTGCTAATTGACCTAAGTTGATATTGTACTCTGCTGCAGTCAATCTTGTTTATTATAGTTTAATCATATTGATTGAATGGTAGATCATACAAGGAATTTAAATCTTTGTTATTTTTCTGCTGAAATTCTTTTGTATTTATGCATTAGATATGCTGCTCCAATACTAGTTGATATAGAGTACATCGAAGAAAGTCATTCACAAAGGGAGGAGGTCAAAATGTATATGTCGAACGTCATACACAAGTAAAAGTCGTGTGACGTCAAAAGTTGAAATGTATATTTCGAAACATAGAGAACACTTCATCCAGATCAGCTGAATGATATGGATTGACTTTGACCTTTCTCACACGAACCACTGCAAATTCAAATACTTGAAAGATCTAGATAAACTTTTTAGGAGTAACTAAAAATAGATAACTACAAGATAAAGAATATGGATATATTGGAACAGGTTCTGTATCCCTTGTCAAACATTATGAAAATTTGAAGGTTTAATCCTATTTTCAGTCCATTTTGGTCCTTATACTTAAATGTCCATTTTGGTCTTTATACTTTCTGTTTTTGTTCAATATGATTGTTTTGCTTTCAAAATATCCATTTGGTCTATGTACTTTAAAGAAATGGTCATTTGGTCCCTGTTTGTAAATGTTAGAAAACCTGTACAAAGTTATAGCTATATTTCACACATATTTAAACAAAAACACTTTCGGAATGTGCGCTCAATTTTCTCAAGAATACATGACCTCTAGAGCCAAAGATTTGGGCAAAGCAAACCTATTTTTGACAATACACACTCTGTATACTAAATAGTTGAAATGCGGAAAGGACATTTCCCATACTATTATTCTCTGGAGCCAAAATTTGGCGCTTTTCCTGTTAGAAGCTGATATGTTATTTAATTGTCTAGGTACAACAGGTTGCCCATTACAAGCGTATATATTCATGGGACCAATTTACTACCAAAAGTTAAAACACAGGGTAAGCTTCTGTCCCTCTTCTATTGATTCCTGTTTTCTACCCTGTTGTGAATTACTGTTACCTTCTAAAAAAAGCTTGCATGATTTCATGATATATTGGTCTTGGACAACATGCATGCTAGAGGTAATGGTCTGCGAGTCATGTTAACTAGACAACCAACAGAAGGGAGAGCTAGGAATGGAGGTTGGATATCTTTCAAATTACTATTTTCAAGCTCTGTAGTGTAAGAGCTGCATGGTTAGATAGCTGTCTATTTTTCAGGACTGTGAATAAGAGAAATGGAACGCAATTGTTTGATTGCTTATGGTGCTAGCATGCTGATTTTCGAACGCTTAATGATCTCAAACAGTTCTTTTAAACTTCAGGTACTTTGTCTTGTTTGTATTCATGCCTTCCCTTCTGTCGTTGCATACCTCTAAATTCTTGTTATGATGAATGAAGTAGAAGCGTTTCAATTACTAAGCATTGTAAATTAGTAATTTTGAAGAAAAATCATTGTAAATTAGTTCAAAATGGGTTTGAGAATATTCCAGGCATAGGCTGCAGAGTCTAAAGATGGACAGGTAGAGATGACGACCTATTTGTAAATACTTCCTTTATTTAAAAAAATGATAATAATGTGTATACTTCCATATGGTTGATGAGGCTCCCCACTTATTGGCACAGGTCCGCGGAGTTTGTGGCTTGTTGGGATATTACAACCACAAGCTATAAACGGGAATTTGTTCTTGTAAAAACGGAATATTTCCACTGTGGAGCTTCCATATATGCGTGCAGGCTCTTAATCCAGGTGGGTAGTTTTCTTCGTTTTTTCCCTCCATTTTCTTTCTTGTCTGCATCTCAAAGTCATGCTTTACATGGGTATTTTCTTGTCAATTGTTTTTAGGTTTTTGGTATGTTTTATCATATCTAGTTTGATTTTCTGTTGATAATAACTGAGAATATACATAGAAACTAGGTATTCTGCCATTGCCACGCTGACAGAACTTAACTGTGACACGGAGTAGAAACACTCATAACTACTTCAGGTAAAGAAACGTGCAAATATTAGGAAGATGCATCTTCCATCATCTCAAACCTTATCACTAAAGAGCATGACTGATCTTAATTGTTCCTTTTCCTGCCACTGAACCCTGTGTTCTATCTGCAATAGAAACATCTTTGTTATTTGGGCAGTGACTACTGAGTATTTTACTCATTCGGTCGTGCCTCCATAGTCTATTCCGAAGTTCCTCTTAAAAAAATCAATAGGTGGAAGGTTGACTAGTTTTACCTTAGGCCAAAGAATAAATCACACCTTGATTAGTAGCCGGCTTAACAAATGTTCCAGGTAAGGATTTTTAACTTCCCCATTTATTCTTTATTGAACTAAAGTTCATCAGAGGGCTCTTAATTGGAATGAGTCAGATGGAATCTCACTTCGTTCCACCTTTATTTGACCAATTCCTATGGTTCTGTCCAGAATTTGAGGGTTTACATAAAGCTTCCAATATTTCTCTCGGTATTTCTTGGTTATTTGCTGCAAGAACACACAAGGAAATTTCTGTTGACGGGTTTAGTTTTGAACATAACACATTGTTTTTCGGGTTCGTCGTGGCTCACCAATGTGACTTATTTGTTTGAGCTGTCATAGCAGATCCTTCTGTGGTCTCATAACACTTTTGAGTTTTTACAGTATCAAATCCTGCTTTAAGTTCGATTTGGAACGTATCATGATGGAAACTAGAGAATTGAACTGGGAATTATATTATCTTACTCTTGAACACCCTCCTTGTATAACCATTTAATTACAAACAAAATTCTCACCTAATTAGCTCACTAGCTATTGACTAGTATACCCTTAGTATTTTATATTTCCATCATTTACCTTATTTAATAGTTTTTGAATATTTAACAATTTCACCGTGATTACTTCTATATGTAGGAACTTCAATCTATGAGTATCGTTCCTCGCTTAGAACTAGTAGAGGCATGACCCGAATTAAAGCCTTGATTCAAACTAGTCAAGATTGTACAAAGACGAAAGTTTTGGCCCAGTCATCCAAATTGCAGACAGCTTTATGCACGCTATTCTGGAGATTGCATCACACAGGATAAAATGAGGCCTTTAGGTTTCTCCCCTCCACTGCAACAGCTTTTACTTTGCTCGCTAACTCCCTGTCTCTTTATGACAACTTGCTGCTAAAATTTATGATCTGACTCAGGTTCGCACATGCACAACAAAATGTCACCAAGAGGCAAATGCATTTCTGCGCATCTAATGCACATATGTTAGACAGAAAGAACAATGACAAAGGGAATCTCATATCATCGGGTGAGATCATGTTTATTTTAGAGGGTTCTAAGTTATGCAATTGAAACTAAAGAGTCTTAGTCTTTGTTTGAATTTCATTGTTAGCTATAAACTTATATTTGAACGTTTGATTCATAGAATTTTGGTTATGCTGATTCAACTACCATCATCCTGAATGGAACAAAATTAGCAAGAATTTATCAGCGTGACTGGAGGAACAATGAGGTAAGAATAAACAGGAGTTTGTTTCTAATGACTTTATAAGTGTCTAAAAGTACGTCTTTAAGCATGTTTGGAATAATTTTCTAATGCATGTTGGTAAAATGTGTTTTTTTTAATCATTTCGTTTATTTATTTTTTTAAAATTCATTTTTCAGTTTTGAAAAATGTGTTCGATAACTTTTAAGTTCATTTTTCAAACAAGGTTTTTTTTTTAATATAAAAAAAAGGGGTAATTTTTGTAGTAGAATCTCACTTTCTGCTTGACAGAATATATTTTTTTCATTAGCCATATTCTATTCTATTTTTAAAATTTCTTACTTCAACGTACACATAAAATCTTTATAAAAATTATTTTATTTTTCTTATTAGTAAGTACATCTTTGTAGTCTTTTTTTTGTTTTTTAAAAAGCAAGCCAAGAATCAAAATGTGTTTTTAAGTTTCAAATAATTAGTTGGATGAATATAAGTTTTACACATGTTATACGAAACATGTATCAAACCTTTGGACGATTTAATTTTTCAAGAACGATGAACACAAGTTCATCCATGATTTCATTTGCTCAATCTATGCTTTTTATATTGCAATAGAAGCAAGCTCACATTTTAATTCGATCATGATGTACTAGAAAATATAAAAAGATAAAATATTAAATTACAAATTTAACCTTTTGAATTTTGTGTATATTTAATCTCTTATAGAACAGTTAATTTTTCTAATTACAAATTTGTAAGTGAGCTATTAGATTACATTTTGGCATTAGTACTTTCAAAAAATTCGGAACCCACGAGTCTTTTTGAGGGTTTTCAAGATACTTGTGTTTCTCCAAACAACAGTGTTCCATTCCTCCTCAGATTTGGGTTGGTTAGATATTTTTTCAGGGTTGAATACTTGAAAGCAAAAAAAAAAAAAAAAAAAAAAAAAAAAAAAAAAAAAAAAAA